ATGGGCAAATATTCTCCAATGATTCTCTATGGGAAATATTCTCCACTGATTTTCTATGGGGAAGTATTCTCCAATGATTCTCTATGGGAAATATTCTCCACTGATTTTCTATGGGGAAGTATTCTCCAATGATTCTCTATGCGGAAATATTCTCCAATGATTCTCTATGGGGAAGTATTCTCCAATGATTCTCTATTGGCAAATATTCTCCAATGATTATCTATGGGGAAGTATTCTCCAATGATTCTCTATGGGCAAGTATGGTTTCCCTATGGGCAAGTACTGGCATTTGTTCCAGTAGGTCCCATCCGGTGTAAGCCCCCTACATTCATGGGGTTTACCCCCTGTGACAGATCCAATGACAAGCTGGTCTGGGAAAACATCCCATAGGGGGGTTACTCTTGAGTAGACACGTGCCTTTAGAATTGCTGCCTGGTTGGTGCTTTGGAGGGGAGTTGTTCAGCTAAAGCAACCCCTCTCTTTTATATGTGTATGCTATTTACTTACTTATATTCGGCTTTTCACAAAGCAAGAACCTATTATTATTATTATTATTATTATTATTATTATTATTATTATTATTATTATTATTATTATTATTTGCTTATTTATATTCCGCTTTCGACAAAGAAGGAACCTAGTGTTATTGTTGTTGTGTTCCATCAAGTCCTTTATGACGTTATCTCGGGGTTTTCTTGTTCAGAGGGTAGGGCCTTCCCAGCCTGAGGCTGAGAGAGTGTGACTTTTCCAAGAGTTGGCTTTCATGGCTGGACTGGGAATCGAAATTTGGTTTCTAGAGTCATAATTCAATGCTGAAACCACTACGCCACTCTGGCTCTACTACTACTAATACTACTACAATTAAGATGATGATGATGATGATGATGATGATGAAAATATCATTAACTACATCACGCTGGCTCTACTACTACTATTACTACTACTACTACTACTATTAAGATGATGATGATGATGATAATGTTAACTACACACGCTGGCTTTACCACCACTACTACTATTTCAATGTTGTTGATGATAATAATTATGATGATTTTAACTACGCCACTACTACTACTACTCTACTACTACTACTACTACTATTAAGATGATGATGATGATGATGTTAACTACGCCACACTAGCTCGGCTACTACTACTATTACTACTATAAAGATGATGATAATGATGATAACATTAACTACACCACGCTGTCTCTACTACTACTACTACTACTACTACTATTAAGATGATGATGATGATGATGATGATGATAA